GCACAGGAAAAGGCAGCCTGATCCCTGTCCCCTGTCCTGCTTCCCACTCTGTACTTTCAGTATCTCCAACCCCTGGAGTAAGAGGAGGACTTGCTTATGCAAGGGGTTTGTGTTTGGTCACCAAAAAGCACCTCTGCTTAGAGAACAGGGAAAACATGCATCCATGAAGGGTGTATCAAGGCTGCAGTGAGATGTATAGCTGATCTTTAGTATCTCCTAAAAACTCTCCAATTTGTGATTTAGCATAAAATACTGAGTTCGCACCATTGGGCTACAGTTGAGAGATTTCTGGCCTTGTAGCTTGTATGAGTGTGGTAGGCCTCAGGGAAGAAGGAATAAGAAATGCTGTTGCCTAGGTTTCCTCACCTCTGTTGCTTTATGACTTCTGTGTCCTCTGAAATTGTGTCCAGCAAAAATGAACTGATAGTATTTAGGAGCTACCAAAATAGCCCTGATCTCTCTAGGCAAGCTGCGAATGGACTTCAACTCATGCTCGTGAGCTACTTGCTCTAAAACCTCTTCTCTTATGATGATGCTTCAGAGTGTCCCAGAATCACAGAATGGTTAAGGTTGGAGGGGACCTCTAGAGATCATCTAGTCCAATCCCCCTGCTCCAGCAGGGACACCTAGAGCACGTAGCACAGGGTGGCATCCAGGCGAGTTTGGAAGATCTCCAGAGAAGGAGACTGCACAGCCTCTCTGGGCAGCCTGCTTGCTGCCTGCTGTGTTGTCCATCCAGAAGGTGTTAGGGACATTGAAGTCCCTCACAAAATCAGTGTCAGCAATACAGAGACTCTAAAAGAACTGTGGCTTCCAGGTGGAGGAGCTGTGAAGCCCTCACTGTCACACTCCAAGGCTATCTAGACCATACACGCTATGAGAAAGTGAGTCTCTTAAAAAACACGTCAAGGACATCACTCTAAGTGAGGATGCCGTTACAGCCACAGCAGCTGTAGCCTGCAGGCATCTGGGGACACTGGCAACATGGGTGTTTTTGGCTTTGTTAGCAGTGGTAGCATTATCCTGAGTTCAACATAAGAAAGCATCCACATACCCAGAGTAACCCAGACTTGGAGGCCTGTACTGTTGGTCTTGTAGGATGCAACCTGCCAACACCATATTTAAGTAATTAAAAATAAATGCCAGGTGGAAAAATTCAGGTTATCTGATTCCCACTCTTACATGTTTCATTGCCTACTTCTGCCTTAAGTATGAGATGGGCCAAAGCAAAATCACAAGGTGAATCCTCCTGACTGCTGCAGGGATAAAATTCCTCCCTTCTCCATTTCCATGCCCTTGCCATGAGCTGACCAGTGTTCCCACATCTTCCCCTCCTAAACGAGGAAGTCCAGGCATCCAAATCTACCTGAACATTCTTTTTTTCATGTGCAAAGATGGTCTCTCACCCCAGCTAGCTTTTTTCTCCATATCAGGGTATTGCCATCTACAACATAAAGCCACTAAAACATGGTGCTTCCTAACCTCATCTTATATCTGCACCATCACATCAGTATCTGCACCCAGGCCCTGGCAGCAGCAGGCCCTGGAGGGAACTGCTGCCAGTCAACTGAGCTGCAGGATTCCTGTTTAGAAATACAAGGTCTTGTCTGTTTTAGGAACCATTTTGGAGTCTTCAAGTAAAATAAGCGTCATCTGAGATGCAGCCACAGAACAAAACTGCAGCACACTTAGCAAACTGACTGAAACCAAAGCTGAACGTTCATTAACAGCCACTCAGAGCGTGTCCAGTGGAGATTAGCTGCCATAAGAGCAGCTGGCTGTCCAGGTCCTTTAAAATCAGGCCACTTACTTAAGCACCTAAGTATAGATTTGGAAGTTTGTTCAGACAGTGTTGGCATGGATGTGCACATCTCAGGGACCATTTCATTTTATCTCAATTTTCATTGCAAATCATCTGTGCTCATTCTGAAATAAAACTGCCATCAGGCAGAGCAGGAGATACTAAGGAAATTACCTAGAACATGATAAAAGGGCAACAGCGGCAGCCAGTGTCCACTGCACCAGCTGCGGCAGATGAAGAGATGGTCATGTCCGGAGCAGGTGCCCTGCTGGCAGTGCTTCTGCTTTATCATGTTTTCCATCATAATTATACTTTTCCTTAAATCCTCACCTCCTGTAGTCATGGGATTCTGAGCTTTTTAGATTCTAAAATGCCCTGATTCCCAAACCAGTCATCTTATGAGCTAGGGGGCGGGGGCTTGATTCACACATTTTGGGCACACAGGATCAGCTTAAGCATGAAAATGCATTTTTCAAAACATGCCAGGTATACCTTCAAGACTGCAATTAGCGTCTGTGTTTTAAAGCCACCTCCAGGCAACCTTCAAGTTTTGCAGACATAATTACCTGTGGATACAAAGCTAGTGGCTATTTCTGAACAAGAGACCTTTAAAGTTTCATTCTCCCACTACATGTCCTGTAGTTTTCGGTAACCCCTTGACATAGATTTTTCCCAGCATTAATGGAGCCTGCTCTTTGTTAGGCACTGAGTTACTCCTCAGAGGTTAGTTATGTTGCAAAGTGGAGTAAACAACTATTTATCCCACTTCCACTGCAGATCTAAAGGCCACATTTAAAAATAAATTAAACATAATTAAAAAATAAATTAAGCTATGTCTCAGGCTTACCCTGCTGCAACCACATGGTTAGTGGCTAGAGGAGGGGATCAGGATTTCTATCAGCATCAGTCAATTTACTGCAATGGGAAGGCAGCTCTTGCCTGGACCTGATGCTGAGCTGCTGCTGGCTGAACATCACTCATGTAAGAGCGCAGGATTAAACACGATCCCGATTAGGATATCATGGATGTGATGCTGCCAAACCAATTGCTTCTGTCTTGGCCCTGCCTCATTCTCATACAATCTCCAGGGCGGTGAATGATGCAGCTAATGTGACTCTGCAACAACACATCTCGAGTCACAGCAGCTGTGGCTAAGCAGGAGTGGGATGGAAAGATCTCATGGTAAAACCTCTGGCCAAGTCTGAAAGGGTTTCAGTGCTGTTGGCAAAACACTGACAAAGAACCTGGCCAAAGTTATTAGCCTGAAACCTCCCTGAAGATGAGCCGTCACTGCAGACTCTTGTGTGAATCAGCCATGCAAGACATGCATGGGCACTCCATCTGCTCACACTGCCCACGGTGCATCTCCACCTGCAGACAGCCCCATCCCACAGCTGGGCCACAACGGCGGTGCCCACAGCTCGCCCTGCTGCTCTGCACTCAGTCAAAGCTGTGAACCCCAGTAGGAGCCCTGCCAGGTTTGGGGAGGTCACACTGCTTCTCCTCTGAGGAAGGAGTCAGAGGACGTGGAACACTAGATGTTTAGGCCCTCCATTTGGTATATGGGAGAAGGGGGATGGAGAGACCCAGGAACAAAGGGTCAGATTATGGTCACAACTTGGCAGCAGAGGGAAAAGCAACACTTTGTTTTCTGCAGGCTGTAGCATCCTGAACTTCCCTGGGAGCCCGTGTGCTCTGGTACAGATGATATTTCCATTGCTTAGCTTGGAAGAGACAAATTCACAGCCTGAGCCACTACATCAGTGAAATGAATTTTTTGCTATAACGAAAGGTTAAACTGCAATAAAGTTGCTGAGGCACCAATTCAGCGATACAGATATATAAGGGCCATCTTTTTGCTAGAGTAATTTGGCCAAGCCATGCAGACTTTCCAATTTACACCAGCAGAACATGCAGCCCATGGTGACAGAGCAATGTGGACTTACAGCACAAAAACAGTGTTGACGAATGGCTACATGTCCTGGCTGCTTGACAGAGCTGAGTTAACCATCTGAGCCACCAAGATGAACGGCTAGGGGCAAAAATGTAACTGCTATCATCTTAACATTAGGATTGTTCTAAGTACTTCATTACTAAGTCATTACTCTTGGAGACTGCCTCTCACAATGGGAAAAATGCTGATCTCATTTTATTTAATTGGAACAAAATTCTATTGACTGGCCATGAGCCCAATTACTATAATTGATTTTTTAATATCAATATAAATACGTATTCACTTTATTCAGCTACTTCCCTGTGTCTTGGAGGTTTGAAACAGTGCTCTGATGTCAGTCGGAGCTAGCAGTGTTCTGCTCTGGAGCACTGTATCTCACCCTTACGGATGCACTAGTTAATGAGCTGAATTCACATAGAGGAAGCTGAGTGTTTTCTCTCTTGACACTTACCTGCTACAAGCTGCACATGTGCACTGCTGCGGTCAACGTGAGAGCAAGTGGGGAGTCATGTGAGCTTGCAAAGCTTGCTTCAGTGCAGGGGGAGCAGCACAAAGAGAGAATGAGCAATTCATGCCCACAGATATGTATGTCAAAGACAGGAAAGCACAGGAAAAGCCAGCCTGATCCCTGTCCCCTGTCCTGCTTCCCACTCTGTAATTTCAGTATCTCCAACCCCTGGAGTAAGAGGAGGACTTGCTTATGCAAGGGGTTTGTGTTTGGTCACCAAAAAGCACCTCTGCTTAGAGAACAGGGAAAACATGCATCCATGAAGGGTGTATCAAGGCTGCAGTGAGATGTATAGCTGATCTTTAGTATCTCCTAAAAACTCTCCAATTTGTGATTTAGCATAAAATACTGAGTTCGCACCATTGGGCTACAGTTGAGAGATTTCTGGCCTTGTAGCTTGTATGAGTGTGGTAGGCCTCAGGGAAGAAGGAATAAGAAATGCTGTTGCCTAGGTTTCCTCACCTCTGTTGCTTTATGACTTCTGTGTCCTCTGAAATTGTGTCCAGCAAAAATGAACTGATAGTATTTAGGAGCTACCAAAATAGCCCTGATCTCTCTAGGCAAGCAGCCTGCTCTTCAGACAACCCAGCCCCAGTCACTGCAACAGATTCCTGCT